CGCCTGTTGAACAAAGCCACCCGACTTGTCACCTGCTGGGGACAGGTGAGCTTTGCTGCCCAGGCGGCTGTCTTCAGGCTTGTGCCCTCGTTCAAGAAACATCAGGAGTCCCGCTCTTTTCCCAACTCATTGCACGTGCAAATAGCTCCTGGAGAAAGGAGCATTGCCTGATGGGTTTTGGCCCCGCCGGGTTCTCACTTCACACGTCGTTACCCGTTCTGCAACCTCGTGGAGACCTGGTAGAGCGGGTCTGTGCATTTGAACCTTGCACTTTGCATTTTATCAGCTGGGAAATAGCCCTCATATTTCAAGCCCTTGTATGACCATTGTGATGGGGGTAGGTTGTGAGAGAAGCTGGAGCTGTTTCTCAGGCACAGGGAAGCTTGGATGGAACAAGACCTTAATTACAACTAAGAGATTTGCTGCTTTTTTTTGTGATTTTTCCAATCCTGGCACTGTCAGTTTGCTGGCAGCAAATCAAACAGCAAGTTAGTTTATATTGAATGCATGCTAGGAAGAGAAGATAGAGTCTCAGATAAGCATCCAACTGTAGGAACTTCTGAAATTGAGCTGCACTATCCCCTTGCACTATCCCCTTGCACGTGGGGATAGTGCAGATTATTAGGTCTTTTCTGTGTTACTTCATCCGGATTGAAGCAACAAAGGAAGAAATAAAACAAGGTTTTTTTTGATGCATCTCTGCTTTCCCCCCCTCCGTGTAATCCAGCCCCTGCATGTTCAGCAAGGCGAGGGGGTTGTACCGTGCACCACCGCCACATATGCCCAGCAGTCATCCTTAGCCACGCGGTGGAAGGCAGGGGCTCACGTTCTCCTTCTTGCTTTGATCAGGAGGCATTTATGGCATGGAGCCGGGGGGGTAATAGGGTGTGTTTGCTCTGAGGTTAATGGGGTGTTTTCCCTACGAGTGGGTGTCATGCTGTTATATTGGTAGAAACGTTGTACTTGAGAGCCAAGGCGTGAGTCGTTAGGAAATGAATCATAGCATCGTAGAGAAGTAGCGTTGGCGGGTCAGAAAATGGGGGTGGGAAGGGACCTCAGGAGTCGCATCCAGTCCAACCCCTGCTCCAAGCAGGACCGGCCCCAACTGCATCATCTCAGACGAGGCTTTGTCTACCCGGGTCCAAAGATGGAGACTGCACCACCTCTCCGGGGAGCCTGTTCCAGTGCTGCACCACCCTCCTCGTGAGGGAGTTTTTCCTAATATCCAACCCAAATTTCCCTTGCTGCAATGTGAGCCCATTGCTCCTTCTGTCATCTGCCCCCACTGAGACCAGTCCAGCTCCATCCTCTTTGCACCCCCCTGCAGGGAGGTGAAGGCTGCTATTCAATCCCCGCTTGGTCTTCTCTAAATCGGGGAGATGTCAATGAGCCGGGAAGCCCAGGTTGACTAGCTTGGCGCTACCTGAATAGGGACTTTGCATCAGCTGGTGGCCAAACCATGAGCGGGGCCCAGTTGGGAGAGGTTGCATCTCCCAGGGCAGAGAGGGCTTCCAGGCAGGTGGGCCCAGGTCGAAGCAGGGACTGGGCTCCTCCTGCCTGGTGATGCCCGAGCTCAGCCTCACACCTGGCAGAGCTACCGGTCCTTGTACTGGCAGCCTGTTTGGGCATGGGCATGCCATGCCCCAGGAGGAGCAACGACCCGGCCCACTCGGCTCACCCCGACGGCTGTTGTGTGGGCTCGTAGAAGTAAATCTGCCGAATACAAAGGAGCCGTATATTAATGCTATTACAGCACTCCCTAATGTTGTTATAGCTTAGGGTTATCTGCATCTTCATACACATTTTGATGAGTGTATAAGTGTTAGAAATGATGATTTTTAAACCGAAACTTTATTTAAAGCCTGGCTGGGTGCAAAATTAATTTTCAAGTATTAAAATAGAAATATTTTACCAGTCTTACAATTATAGCAGCACAGATTTAAAAAAAAAAAAAAAAAGCTGCTGCACTCAGATGCTTTTTGTGCACCTGTCACTTTAAAAAGCTTGGTTTTTAAGGATGAATCTGTTGAAATGCAGGTAGTTCCTAATCCGAGAATCGACCATGAAACTACGTGCATTTCAATAAATTCGTCCTAAAAAAAATCTCGCCTTCCAGTTTCCTGCTCCCGGCCTGGATCCAGCATCTGCCCAAAGCAAGGAGCATGTGCATGCCTCTGGATTTATGCACCGGAGCAGGGGTCGCAGCCCCGGAAAGGCATTTTAGGGCAGCCTCGAGAGCCCATCACTTGTCCCGAAGAGTTTTTATGACTTTGCTTCAAATCCGCTTAAAAAAGGAAACGGGGCGGCGCTTGGCCTCGCGGCTAGCTGCCTCTCAAGCCCGTGGTGGAAGAGAGATGCTTCGGCATGGATCCGTCACGTTTCTGTGGGGCAGCTCTTGTAGGAGGGATCCAAGTGGGGCTGCGGTGTAGTAAGCGTAACACTTCTCATCCAGATCCCCACCCGGGTGTGGCCGAGGCGTAAGCTGCCCGCCAGCACTGCAGTGAGAAGAGGAGGGAGCCGGGGCCCGCCTGGCTTCCTCCTTGTTTTTGAAGTTAAATATTACCGAATTAGATGCTTTATCAAGCCTGCGGGGACGGAGCTTGAGCAGATCCAAATGGCTGAGCCCGCAAAGATCTGTCGAGCAGGTCTGCATTTCCCCCCTTCCCCTCCCTCCTTCTAAAGTGAAAGCAGACCTTGACACTTAATCAGATTTGAATGTGGTTTTTGGCGCTGCTTGAAAGAGACTGGCAGCAAATAGCTAGGTTTGATGCCATTTATTAAAAACCTCTGGTAGAATTTGTCTCGGGAAGCCTTTGTGAGGGCTGGCAAACGCACAAGGGTTTGATGCAGTTAACGTATTTTCATCTCTTTTTTCTTCCTCTCTCCCCTCCCTTTTCTCTCCTCTCATTAATTGTAACCCTTTCAGCCGGAGGGCTGACTCCGGAGAGACTCCTGTTGACGTGGGGTCTTGATTGGGCTCTGGTGATGCCGGCCAAGTGCGCATGTCCTTGGGGAGGGGGCAGTCTTGCAGCCACGCGGGGCTGGTAGCCAGGTCCCTGGGCTCCGACACAGCCCAACCTATACGACCGCGGTCAAGGGAATTAACCTGCTGGCGGTGCCGCCTTCTCATTAGAAATTAAACCCCCGCAAAAAAACCCAGCAGCAGAGCTCCCTGGGCAAACAAGATATTTGTTCTGCCCTCCACCCACGACTTCCTCCCCACTTCCCGCTGAAGCAGGTGAGGATTTGGGGCTAGGCTTTCTACAAGTGACTGGTGATTTTGGTTGTCTTGATTCTCGGGGGCCCAGCTCGAAGCCTCTCCAATAAGCGCTGTTGGAAGGCAGGTGTTTGGAAAGCTCACTTTCAAGTGTCCGTTCCTTCCTCCGCAACTTCTTGCCTCTCTTGGGTAAAGCTTCTTTCTCCTTCCTGGGATCTCCCCACCCTGCAGTTGTTTGGGACCGATCTCTTCTTGGACTCCGCTTGGGTGCGTCTACATGTGCAATTAATGCTATTTGGCTTTACTGTGCAGTAAGCACCTGCATGTGTAGATGGTGACACTTTACTGTGCAGTAGACTAATTTACTGTGCAGTAAGCACCTGCACGTGTAGATGGTGACACTTTACTGTGCAGTAGATTAGTCTTGTGTAGACACTGACTAATTCTTCCTCATTGTCTTTTTAAACTAGGAAGGAAATTCCTAGCTGTCAGAAGTATTTGCTAAGTGCTGCGTTGGCCTCTGGTGTCTCAATCGCAAATAATAAGGAAGACGTATTCCTCTGCTCTTGGCTCCTTGGACTGGCAGTGCACTTGCTGGGTTTTAAAGCCGGGCAGGGCTTTTCCCAGTTGACCCGGGAGCTACGCTTCAGTTTGCAGGTGTGCGTGTCGGTGCGGCAGTGCAGCAGGGTTTGTTAAATGCAGCTGCTGGTGGGCTGAAGTAGCATGGTGGGAGCTGCAGAGCAGCTGGTCCCCTGGCGGTTTGCTCCCTGGCTCTGAAGGGTTATTGGACTTTGTTGAAGGACCGAATATGGGCAAAGAGCTTGCGGCGAAGCAGGAGACTTCGTTGAGGTCTTGGAAGAGATCTCGCTCTCCGAACTCTGGTTCGGCTCCAGTATCCAGTCAACACCTCTGCCATTTGCTCCCGCTGTTTTGGAGCACTTGCGTTTGCTGCTGCGTCCGAAAGTGTGTTGGGGGAGTGAACGGGGATATGGCAGGGGTTTAAAATATATCCTTGTAAAAGAACCAGCCATTAGCAGGACCCACCTGGGGCGGGCTCTGCAGTAGCAGGCCGTTTGAACGGGTGAGATGATACACGGGGCAGGCATTCGTCCTGCGTGAGAGTCTTCAGGATTGGGCCTTGTGCTCTTCGATTAATTAGACGATGGCTGGGAGAGGGGCCTGGCAGCAATAGCTTTTGTAGTCCTATAGACTTGGTGGTTAAATAGGCTGGCTAAAGGGCCCCGATGTGTGTGCACGTGTGTGTGTGTAAAGATCCCGTGTACTCCCGATCGTTTTGAGGTGTAGTCACCCAGCGGATGTCAGAACAGAGCTCTGCACGTAGCTCTCCAGCGTGAGCACAGCCCCTGGCGTGCGACTGGGCGTGTTATGGATCCCCGGGCGGCCGAGGGTTGCAAAAAGCAGCGCGTGCTTCGTTCTGTAGCAGCCTCTTCCTCTTTGCTCTCTGAGATCGGCCGGCGCAGGACGTGGCGCCGAAGGGGGGCTGAGATGGGTGTGCATGCCGCCAGTCCTCCGGTCTCTTGGCCTGGAGCTGCACGCTGGTGGCGGCGCTGCTCTCCTAGAACGAGGCAGGAGGATCTAGTACGTAGACAGTTCCCACTAAACACTTAGATTTCAGGCCACGTAATTCTCACCATCAGCCTGCACGTGCCCACATGGTATTAATGCCGTCGGTGTTGCAGAGCTTGCACGCGTTGCCATCCATTTGCAAAATCAGGCTTGTTAACCTTATCTCTTTTTCTCCCCCTCTTTTTCCATGCCCCAGGTTTCCACCTGAGCGGGACCGTCACGGAGCCCGCCACTGCGACGGAGCCAGAGATGACCTACAAAGTGGCCATCAGCTTCGACCGCTGCAAAATCACCTCGGTGACATGCGGCTGCGGGAACAAGGACATTTTTTATTGTGCCCACGTGGTGGCCCTCTCCCTGTACAGGATCCGCAAGCCCGACCAGGTCAAACTCCGTCTTCCCATCTCAGAGACCCTTTTCCAGATGAACAGGGACCAGCTCCAAAAGTTCGTTCAGTATTTAATCACGGCTCATCACACCGAGGTGCTGCCCACCGCCCAGAAGCTGGCGGATGAAATCCTGTCCTCCAACTCCGAGATCAACCAAGTGCACGGTAACTCGCGTCCTTTGTGCCGTGACTTTTAAATGCCGAGGCCCTTTCGGCTGGAGGCTGGCGATGGCCACTCCACAGTCATGGACGTGGCCCTTCGTTTGGGTCCTGCCTAGGGAGAATTAAAAGGGGGGGCGAAACAAAATTGATGTAAAAGTATCACAGTGGCATTTGCATTGTGCAAGCTGCTTCGGTCTCTGTTGTCACTCACGTGTTTATTCGCGGAA